CTCCTCCTCCTCCTCCTCCTCCTCCACCACCACCACCACCACCGCCACCACCACCACCTCCTTACTCTTCTTTCTTTTTTTTTCTGGGACATTGGTGTATCCAGTGTATTTATAAAGCCCACCCAGAACCAACTTTCTGGAGTACCAATAATCTCTGCTTTCATGATTACGTAGGCATCAACAGTGTAGCCAAAGGGTTGAAAGCAAAGAATTTGAATCAGACGAATCACATTTTGCAACTTTATGATAGTGTGTCCTTCAGTGAACTTCTAGACCTTCTCTGACTCGGTTGTCGTGCTTCTAAGTAGTCACAGCAGGATGTGTTAACAATACCACAAGCGTGTTGGGAAGCTATGTGAAACAGCAATGAGGCGTGCTTAGCAGTCCCACTCATGAGCATGTGGCGTCTGTGAGCTGTTTCCGTTATCCTCCCACAGTGTTAAATTACCACGTGGAGAGCAGAGTGGCATGTGAGCAGCATATGTTCCTAACGATTGTAGCCCCTGAGACCTGGGCTGACTTTTGTGACTTAACCTACTATTGCTTGTTGCTATGCCCCCAACAGTGGAAGCTTCTCAACGGTGAGAAGTCTGTTTTACATATAATTACTTAAAAGGTCATTTGAACTAGGGTAGCAATTTCAACTGGCTTCATGTCATTTCTTATTCTGTGTCAGAAAGCCTGCCTGACCTGTGGGGAATGGGTTCCTCCCAGGAGCCCTCCTGTCAGGTTGGTGCTGCGCAGCCAGGAGGAAGCACAGGTGGAGCCCCTGGGCCTGGGGAACCTTGGTCCCGTCCATTGGCATGGAAGCCCAGGTGGTGAAATCCTGCTTGTAATGGTGGGTGTTACTTCCATTGAACCTGTCATTAAATTGTGGTCACTGGCCTTGATCTACCAGAGTGCAAAGACATCTCCATCTGAGCCATTAAAATATAAAACCATGAAGCCTAGGCTTCTCTTTAAGAAAACTTCTTTTGGCAATATGGAAAATGAAGGGCAGGGTTCAAAATGCAGATATAAACACAGGGACAGCTTGCTTCTGATACAGTAATATGAGTATTCACAATACAAAGCCCATATATTTTCCCAAATGGCCTCAAATTACCAAGTCATCTTAATACATGTAATATATGAGGCAATTTTAGAGGAACCATGTAGTCAAGATGATTTGTAAACACACAGGTAAGGGAGCCAATAATGAAAAGCAACATAGTGTCACTGTGTAGAAGAACTTGAAACTGTCTTAGTGGCTTAGGGTGAAGGACCACCTCCCTTCCTCCTACACACACCTCTCTCTCCCGCTCTTGCATTCCAAGCCAACAGGCATGGCTTCTGAGATTTTCACTGGAATCTATTAAATCACCTTAACAGTTAAGAGTATGGTAATTTCTCACTTTCCCTTTTTTTCTTTTCTAATGCCCATACTTTCAAATATGGCTTGAAAAATGGTTGGGATTAAAGTTGCCCGAGATTTCTTAAAAGAAAGAAGCATGTACTACAGCTGTCTTTACCCTACATCTTGAATTTTCCACCCCCAACTCAAAAATATGATCCTACTCAAAACCCAGATGTGGTATTTTAGCCAGTATGCTCTGAGGAAGTGGTTGGTACCAGAACTTAACCACCTGTTTTGTAGGGATGGCCAGGCATTAGAGCTGCACGCTGCTGGCTTTTTTTTCTGCTACTGTGATTTTAAACTCCATTTAATGGGCTATTTGAAGGGGAGATTTTGCCACCTGGGGGAGCAGTTCAGAAAACTGGATTGGTCGCTGTGTCTGTGAATGTCAGAGGTAGTTAAATCGCAAAAGAGCTACAAAAAATGAGAAGGGGAAATGACCCAGAAAATCCAGCAAGGGCAGCTTCCCTCTGAAGTCCAATCCTCTGACAATGATGTGGAAAGAGCAACTTCCATGCCTCCTGGGAGGTTATAAACTTCTCTCCTCAATTGTGAAGTGAAACAGAGATATTGGAGTGACTTGTTTAAGAAGCACGCACCCCCTGATTTTTTTCTGTGTACAGAGAGACAGATTTCACCCCCTCATGTTTCCTCCATCCATACCATCCTAGATACAGGGTCTAGCAATAAGCTTTTTCCATTAAATACTTTGTGTCCTTACTCATTCCTCAAATGATCAATTTATTTTTAAATACAAAATTATATAATATACAATACTAGTTTAAAAACACAATGGATATATGAACATAATTTACTTCTCTAATGAGCATTTAAGCTTTATGTGCTTATTATTATTATAATACTTTAAAAAATTCATAAATTTATGTTCTCCATTTCTTTTTGAACCTACTAAGGGGAAGCCCTTTTTGAAATGTTTTGATTTCCATCTAACTGACTTCTACATTTTTTTCCTGACCATTTTCTGAAAATACACCCATGACTTTTAAAAGTATATAACATGCAAGTTAGACTCAGAAGCAAACAAACCTTTGTTCACATCCCTCACTGTCTCTCTAGGGTGTATTCTCCAGTATTAATTACTTGACCAGGACACATGAATATTTAAAACTATTAATGTATTTTTAACAGTGTGCTTTCCAGAACGATTTTCTCAATTAGCCATGTTGGAGGCTGTGCTGTCATTCTTACTGAACCCTGTGCAAAATTATATTGAATCTTTTGTAACATTTGTCTCTTGGATGGGTAGAAAAGCTGATTTTTATTTAATTTGCAATTCAGTAATTACTTATAAGAAATGCTGGTATATGTTTCTCAGCTCTTGTGTCTGTGTTATAAATATTTTTTATAATCTTTGTCCATGTTATCTGTGTATCAGTTTTCTCTCTATAACTTGTAAGTGTTCTTGACATAGTTATGGTATTATTTTTGCCACAGATTTTGATTCTGTGTTATTAGGCACATCATTGTAGGACACTTGAAGCTTTCGGTCTAAATGCATTTTTGTGAATTTGAAATGATTGTTCCTAATTGATTTTTTTTACTCCCCATAAAAAATACCTGCTTCCTATTGAGTCTAAGATTGTTCTAACTTTTGCCCAACATTGTTCTAAGTTCACCTGCATTTATCTTTGTTTTATAATATTCTGTTACATGAATCATGTTGATGGGCATTTAGCTTGTCTCCTTCCTTTACTTTTTGCTATTATAAACATTGCTGGTAAGAACATTTATACATATCCTCAAGAGCCCATGGGTAAGTTTCTCTAGATCAGAATATACCCCTCCTCCAGCTTGGCTTCAAACTTACTTTCCAGTCTGATTCTACCAGTTTACGTTCATATTCTTCATCAGAATTTATTAGCACCACACCATTTTATTACTGGTGTTCTGGTTGTGATAACTGATGTCTTATTATGGTTTTAATTTGCATTTCCATGATTGCTATTGCATAGAGCTTTTTTATGTGTATATTGACTTTCACATTTCCTCTGATATGTATTGCCTACTCATACATCTCGCCCAATTTTATTGGATTGTTTATCTTTGCTTATTGACTTGTAGAAATTTTTAATATAGTCAGTACATTAATATCTGTCAGTTATATGCATGGCCACTATCATCTCCAGGAGCTTGGCTCATCTATTTGTTTATTTATAAAGTATTTCATCCATACAAAGTGTAAGTATGTATACATAAGGGCTTAAAATAATAACATCACAAACCCTTGTATTGAACTCACACTGTACCACCTGGCAATAAAAATATCAGCAATGCCTTTGAAGCTCTGTCATACCCTTTCCTCCTTCCAACAGTAACCACACTTGTGATTTTTTCAAACTCAACTTTATTAAGATGTAATTACATATAATAAAATGCATGCATTTTGAGTGCGCAGTTTGATGTTCTCTGACAAGTTTATGTGCACATAATCAAGATATAGAGCATATTCATTACCCCCAAAGTGTTCTCATGTGCTCTTGGTAATCAGTAGCCTTTCTCCTAACCCCATGCCCTAAATAACCTGTATAAACTGTCACTACAGATTAGTCTTGAGTGTTCTCAAATTTCATATAAATGTAATCTTACATTATAAATATGTCCTTGGTGTTTTTGAGATTTATCCAGGTTGTTGCCTATGTAAGTAGGTAGTTCCTTTTTAGTTTTGAGTAATATTTTGATGTATGCCACAATTTGCATACCTACTCTTTTGTCGATGTACAGTTTCTTTTTAGCAGTTATTAATAAAGCTACAGTAAATAGTCATGGGCATGTGTGGGCATACATTCTGTACAGGCACATGCATGTATCTTGGATATGCACCTAAAGGAGAAACTGTTGGGTCATATCTAAAAATTGTACGTAATTGTTACATGTGAGTCTGTGTTTCATATTTCTGATATGTTTGTACTGTTACCTTGGTGCCAGAAATGCATAGGTGTTTCATTTAATGCTTCATTTAATCCATACCCAGGATGCAGGCTTAGTTTGTTTTTCAATCCTTAGGCCCTATAATTTTAATTTGCGCTCCTCGGTGACTAATGTTGTAGGTGCTCTCTTCTTGGGCTTGGTGGTAATTCACATATATTGTTTATCACTTTGTTATCTTGTCTATCAATGTGTTTTTTTTTTCCAAATTCAGTTGACTCTTTATTGTTGAGTTAAAAGTGTCTTTCATACATTCTGGACACAAGAGTTTTGTGCATAGGCATGTACTAGAGGTAGTTTTACCAGTCAGTGGCATGCACATTCATTTTTTTAGTCATGCCGTTTTGGTCAAGTTTATTGAAGTGTGACCTACATACAATAAACAGCATCAATTTAAAGCACATACATGACCAGTTTTGACAAATGCATCCACCTGTCAAACCTCCCCCGTGGTAAATGTACCAAAGGGTCACCCGTTGGATTCCCAGTCAGGGCACATGCCTCGGTTGTGGACCAGGTCCCCAGTGCGGGGTGTGAGAGGCAACCAGACATTTCCCTCCCTTTCTCTCACTCTTCCCCTCTCTCTGAAAACAAATACGTAAAATCTTTAAAAAGAAAACAAACCTGCCATGACTGGGAGTTTTCTTTTACTTTGCAGTTCTTCCCTGGCTGATCACAGACACCCCAATCTGCCTTCTGCCAAAACAGGTAAGTTTGCCTTTTCTGTATTTTATACCAGTGAAAACATAGTGTTTTTACATCTTCTTTCTCTTACTCATGAACAACTGCTTCATTCAGTTGTTCCAGGTGTTAGTGGTTTCTTACTGTGTATTGTGAAATGACATTTCACTGCATGGAATGTGCTACATATGGATATGTTACATACAGATGTGTGACCATTCTCTTGTTGGCAGGCATTTGGGCTGCCTTGGGGTCTTGCTTGTCATGAGCAAAGGCATTAGGAGTGCACAGGTGCAACTCATGGTGTGGGCCTCTTGGCTGAATGTCTAGGAGTGGTATGGCCAGCCCCTACGGTAGGTTACGTTTGCCTCAGGAGCTGCTGGATGATGTTCTCACGATTGCAGCCTTGTGTGCTCCTGCCTGCGATGCATGTGAGAGCTGCAGCTGCTCCTTGTCTTACCCAGTACGTGGTGTTGTCAGCCTTTTAAACTGACACACCCGTGTGTGTGCTCGGACACGGTAGGATGGTTCTGATCTGCCTGTTCCCTACTGAGCATGCTGTGTCTTCCCACATGTTTTTGCCATCTCTGAAATGTCTTTGGTGATATGTCTTCAAGGTTTTGCCTATTTAGTATTGAGTCAAGATGTTACCAGATAGCTGGAAGACCCACCTTCTGGGTCTTCTGTCACTAAACCCCCTCCCAGTAACATCTGGTGTCCTGACCCCTAACAACATACTAGTTTTGCTGGTTTTTGTGTATAGTATGTGTGAGAAGGGGCCTCCCAAAAATTGGAAGTACCTTCTGGAGGGTGGGCTCCTTGTAGTACAGGCTTCTCCTGCTAGGTGAGTGTTCTAGGAACCCAACTATATCAATGCACTGGCTGGCATTGTTGTGAAAGGCTGCTTTCGGCTTCACTGAATGTTTTTTGAAGACTCTTTCAGTGCATTTGCCCATTTCATGATGGGGGATTTATGAGTGCACCTGCCCACACCACACTGAGTGTTCAACAGTTTTTGACCAAAAACAGTATGACCCCCATGTCCCACCCTCCTTATTCACCTGATCTCATCCACAGTGATGTGTTTTTGTTTGTTTGTTTCCCAGATGGAAAAAGTCTTCAAAGGACTTACAAACATTGATTATTTCTTTTGATTCCCTTTTAATACTTCAGTGGACATTCAGCTTTCAACTTGACTTCAGGAAGTCAAGTACAGAAACTATTTGTTATTAAACATGGTTTTCTAAAGTCTTCATTTATCATCTCTATAGAGCTACAGTTGAAAAACAATTGAAAGAAAAATAGAATCCTGTAGCTGATTTTTTCTTTCTTGCTGTTTTTAATTTGTATTTGTTCAATTATGCATCTTGAATGAATCTAGTCCCTCATCCACAAGCCCCCTTCTGAGAATGTATATGATTTGTATGCAGGCTAGTCATTTTTTCTGATCCCACAGCACCCTCAGCCTGACTGTATGTGCCTGTCTCTTATTTCCATACATTGTATCTCAGAGATAACTGGATGCGTGACCACCTTCTCTAATTAGAGTCATGAGGTCCCCACGGTCTCTTGGCAGTGAACTCTCCTCCTTGCATTCTTTCCATTTATGGTTTTTTTCCATCCCTCTCCCTGAAGGATCCTCTCCTTCAATTTCTACCGCCCCTAAGGAGCCTCCTTCCACATTTGTTTACATGTAAAAATAATTGAAGGATAAATTAATTCTCCATTTCAGTTTATCAATCTCCTTTTCAATTATTGCAGCTTTTATTCCCCTTCAGACTCTGGACTTTGGCAACTTGCAAAGGCTTTTGCAAACAGAAAGCATACAATAGATATTGACTGATTGGTTGATTGCCTGTCTCCTCCAGACTTGGAGTCCATGATTTTTATGATTGATTGACTTGCTAGATTTTTATTTTCTCAAGGGTTCCCAATACTCAGTTATTAAGTTGCACAGAGAAAACCATTAAGCTTGTTTATAAAGACCACAGCCTTAATATCTTTGCTCCTTTTTAAAAAGTGGCTCAATAGAAAAAGTAATAGAAGCCCTTGGACTGTGAGTTTTTTAGTGACAGGGAAACACATTTCATATTTGTACACCAGATACCCAGTGTATTGGCCAAGCCATAGTATAAGCTCAACGTAGAGCTACTGCAGTAAGTAGGGGAAATGTGGTTGAAAATTGTGTCAGGCAGCTTCTCAGGTGTCCTGTAATGACCTCTACCCTGTGTTACCCCTTGTCTATGTACTCACTCCTTCCTGGGATGGGCTGGCCTAGGGCCTTGCTTTTAAGTAACAGAATATGACAAAGGTCATGGGGTGTCACCTTATGGATTGGTAACAAGAGACTGTAAGTTCTATTTTTGCCAGCAGATTCTCTCACTGGACTGTCCCCATGCTGCCTTTCAGGAAGCGAATTGTCAGCTGGAGGAGGCAGGGAATTGAGGGCAGCCTCTAACTGCCATGTAGGGCCTGAGGCCACGAGTCTGAGAGCCCACAAAGAACTAACTGAATTCTGCCAGTAACCACATCAGTTTGGAAATGGGTTCTTCTCCTGTTTGCCTTCAGAGGAGGTGCCAGACCTGACCACTTCCTTCATTGTAGCCTCTTAGAGACCCCAAAACAAAGGACCCAATTAAGGCATGCCCAGACGCTGATCCACTGAAAGGAGATAATAAATGTGTATTGTTTTAAGCCACTAAGTTTGTTATGATTTGCTGTGTAGCGAAATCTGATTAACACAGGAAGATCACATTTGCGAGGTGCCAGGTCTGTACTGGACCTTGGAGGAGAGGGCCCCGATATATAGAAACTCATCTGGTCTTAACTGTTCTGCAAGGTATGACTGTAGCTGGGATATAGTCATGACTCCCCATTACAAAGGGATGGAAAAGGAGTTCGGAGAAATTAGCCCAGCCTGCCCAAGATCACACAGGGCCAAGCTTCTAAAACCCAGATTAATCCTGTGCAGAATGGGAAGAGGGGGGAAGGAAAGGCCCAGATGTAAGTCTTGGTTTCAGGTGTCAGCAATGAGACAAGAATTGAGCTATAGGTAGAAAGCTAAAGGGCGTTGGTGGCCCCAGAACACAAGAGGAAATAATGTCAGGGAGGATTTAAGTCATGATCTATGAAAATGATACTCTAGGGAAGGTAGAAAGTTCATTTAAAGTCTTTAGTATCGGGTAACAGGCAGTTGACAGAGTTACAAAAAGAATTCAGCATAGAGCCGCAGAGATGACATCCATTTTTTTAAAAAAGTAATGCAGGAAATGTTTTGGTAGTCATTTGAAATATGTAGCAAATTTTTCCAGGGAAGCAATCGTTGTAGGAATACAGCTGAAATACAGCGCATTTGTAATGAAAGCAACAGAACATCAGATTCTGGACGTGATACATACTCGACAGCAGCAGCAAGATGAACCCAGTAAGGCAGAAAAATAAATTCCTAAGCTAGATTAGTTCCTCAGAAAATTAGTTTTAATGGGAGATTTCTGGGATTCTTGGCTCTTGTAAGAGCTTTAAAAATTGATGACACTAGTTTTATATTGTTAATTCTAATTTTGTTCTTGCTATACAGACATTGATGGCACTCTTCTTGTTCACGAGAGGCATGAGTGGGGATGCAGAGTGGTAAGGGTTTTTGTTCCAAGATAACTAGATAAAAAGTTGGATGGGAGAATAAAAATCAGAAAGGAATCAAGAAAACAACTGGGTACCAAAAAAATCACAAAATGCTTTCTGATGAAAGCATCAGCTCAGTTAATTGTATGAATCAATCCAGCACAGGAGCAAATAGGAAAACCAGCTCCACAGACTGCTTCTCAAGTGTGCTGAGTCAGTACCCAGGCCTCTGATTAGTCACCTCAAACTGAGATCATAGTATCTGTTTCTGTATTAAATAGCCTGATGTGGATGGTAGTTTCTTTGCCCCATGCCTACCTTGTAGTAGTCTCTGAATGTCGTTTGTTGATGCTGAAACTGCATCTGGGTTGCCTTCATAAGAGAATGAAAGTCATAAGAAAAATATTGGGATTATCTCCTTCCAGTGACAGGTTTCTTTAATGAAGGAAAGAAAGCTAGGAAGGGAGACAGAAAAGGTCACACAGAGGCAGAGCCTGAAAAATGTTGCACAAGTCTGGCTAGATGCCTCCCAAACCATTTCCTCTTCCTGTAAGTACAGATACACTACATTGTCTGCTCCCTCACTTGTAAGAGACCTTACGAGCCATTCCTGCCAGTAGGCAGTGAGAGGAAGTAGTTTTTTTCAGGTGATGGCAAGTTATGCTAAAATGTGCTTTCCCTGTGTGCTCCCTCCCTCCCTTATACCTGCCAGCTGGGTTGTGCCAGGGAGACTCCCAACTGCATTTTTGAGGAACACCACCCAGTAGGAGGCTGAGTCCCTCCCGGAGCACAGGGCCATGCCCATCTTGTCTCTAGGGGAACCATAATGAAAAAGAACCTGTCCTATGTTACTCCGTCGAGAACACAAAATTGCAGCTGCAGCGAGAATTATGTACAAGTAGAACGTAGACAGCTGAAAAAGGAGGGCCTTAGGGACCAACAGCTGAATTTATGTATGTGGAGAATGTGAAAGTCTAATTAGAGAACACAAATAAATTACTTGGTAAACTTTTTATCCTGGAAGAATGATCCCCTGGGATTCCTGTCAGTGGTCAACTTCTGTCCATTTGCAATCACTGTACTTACAGCATAATTTTGGTGGAGAGCCATTAGATGCGAAATGGGTACGAGCAGGCCACCACATCTGAGCACACTTGTGATCACCTCCCAAAGGGGACGGGGGAGGTTTGCAGCCACCATGATGTGGGAGTGTGTTTTCTGAAGTACTTGCTTGGGAGCTCAGAATTTAAACTGGCATCATTGGCTTAGCCACTCATTTAAGGCAATAAAATTTATTTCCATTGGAAATATAATATTCAGAATGCCCACTGTGTATATTTTTCCAATTAATTGGCCTTTAATTACTTTGCAGAAAAATCTATAAAAGAGTCATCCAAGTTGTCCTG